CGATTAAAATCGGCAATCAACATCTGGTGAGCACAAAAAGCCCAATGAATTCCATCAATCATTGTCGAGACGTCGCAACGAGGCAAGCAAGGGCATTACAGCAAGAAATGATGCGAGAAACTAGTTTAATCCTGGATTAAATAAATAAGAATTAAAAAAACAAATAAATAATCAAATAAAAGAGTGGAGTATCCAAAGAAACACAATAAAATTCATTAACATAAACAAAAAAAAGAAATAAATAAACAAAGAAAAACTTCAAACAATATACAATAAAAAAAAATTGATGAACAAATAAATACCTTGTTGTAATACCTAAATAAGCAGGAAGATTATTGACGCATAACAGCAAATAAATGAACATATAAGCATGCAAAACTGCCACCGGATAAGTAGATAGGCAAAATACTATTGATGCTGATCTTACTAGCACCATGCAATGTTTTGAACAAACTAGTAAGCCGATGGGTTAATAATCGAATATTAGGTAAACGTGTAAATAAGTGACTGAAATCATAAGCGGACCCAGGGCCATCTACTGCGCGGATGGGGAAAGGGGAGCGACAGGGAGTACCGAACAGACTTTTGTACAGCAAAACAACTGCTACCTAAGCCCTCTCCCCTTCCGCTAGATTCGCCAACGACTGAAATTGATTTTAACGACCGAAAATTGTACCTTTCCGTAATTTTGCCACCTCCCTGAGCCACTCTTTAAATGTTATCCGATCGGCAATCTTCAACGGTGCGCTCATGAGAGGTATTGCTCGATTGCGATGCTTCCTTTGCTGATACAGGAAAACATCACCTTCAATCATTGCGCTTCTCTCCAGGATTGGACCTGAAGAAGTTTGAGCAATATGCGAATTTTCAGAACTGCCCATGTCGCTTATTTCAAAAATAAACAATAGCACGTATCACGTTGCTGCAATGCTGTTTCACGTGTTTTTGCCGTTAGTTCAGGTGGGGTAGGTGTACCGACTTTGCCTTTGATTACCGGAGTTTCGGATGTGTCTCACTAAGAAGTAATGCTCATGTTTGACCGTTTGAATCAAGAGAACAGGGAAATTTGAAAGAATTGATGTCAGGCTCCAAGCATCACGCGATAGTCGACAGGTAAGATCGAATTTCTCACTGCCCAGATCTATTTCAAATGTGACTTCTCTAGATCAAGCATTTCCGAATTATGCAAAGCATGCTAATGAAAACCCCCTGGTTTTTTTCTCAGTTTTTTTTTACACTGGGAAAGAATTCAGCACCTCACGCAACTCAAATTCTTCGTTTTTTTTTTTTTTTTTTTCAGTTTATCCTGAAAATTTTGCTTTTCCATAAACACTGACCCTAAAGATATGATTAAAATGTGTCAAAAACGACAAACACCTGACACCTGACGCAAAAGAATTTAATTTTTTCGTGATTTTTGTGCTTCCGGCCTCGTTGCGACTCGGAAAGTTAATTAATCAGTAGAGTTATAATATGATTAATGACATCCATGGCCAATGCATATTAATAAGAATTTTGAACGGTCGTAACACATGTTTCAAATTTTCACCCATAATTCCCATCAATCATCAGCTGGATGACATCGATCCCACACTGAGTGATTTATTGGGTGCAGTCATACTTCCAGACCTATCCGAGTGCCAAAATTTATTAGGTGATTTGAAAATTTACAATAAATTTTCCTTGCCTGAGAATACTGTAATATTTGTTAAGATCTTGTGAAAAAAAAATTCTTTTTTAAGTTACGGAGAAGCGGCAACGTTATTATTTAAAACATCTTTATTTTATTGTTTACAACTCAAAACTGTCTGTACAATTCATTCGTTTTTTGAGAAGCGTTGTTTCTCGGAGGTGGCAAGTGGCAACAACAAATACCACCTGACAAGGCTGTCAGTGATTCCTTCTTTCGAAAGTTGCTTACAAGTAAGCTGATGGGGCGTTTGATTCCCCGGTATACGCCAGTACCAATTTACCATCGAAACGAATGAACGAATTGAGGAGGGATCAACGATCGCACCAGTTTTTGCTATTTCGTTGTAAAATCATCAGGACCACTCGGAGAGCTAATGTATCACTCTTTTTTTCAGAAAGACACCACGATCTAAGTTTTTCGCCGGAAGGACCATTTCCTCGTTTAGAATTCCCAATATCCTAACTTTTACGTGCGTAAACAATTTTTTATAAAGATGGTTGTTTCTGCTAACAAGTACTGTAAGTGACCAGTTTTTATCCAAGTTAACGTATCTTCCTCATCGGATTTTACTTTCTCCTGTGGTCACAACAATAGCCTTCATATTGGTCATTTTAGGGACAAGTTTTGCTGAAGCGCCTGTCTATTATTCAAAAATTCCATTTTTTTTTAGCACCCCAAATTGCGCATAATTTCCCCCACTGCAAATTACGGAATTCACCTGACAGTAATTACGGGTCACGGAAGCGTGGAGAGAAAAGGGCAAGAAGGGCAGAATGTAAATAAGAGTGCAACGTACCATTGAGCTGTTCAAGGAGGGCCGGCCAACTATTGATGCCGTGCGCCACCTGTACCTCACCATTCTCACTATCGTTGCGCCAAACCTCGACGGCTGAAACGCGTGTTCTCGATACATACCCTGCAATTAGTTCTGATGTAAAATAATGTGTTTTCCGGCACTGACAATTGTCAATTTAATGGCTTCAAAACAAACCCAGGAAACGCACCGGGCGGGCCCGTGCGATCATGCGTTTTTGCACAGGACTTGAAGTACTCAGGTCATT